CCTTTTTTTTTATTTTAAGATAGAAATATCGTCGCAATTAATCGAATTCAATTTGTTATAATATAAAGAAAACTTTCATCTTCCGTTCGAAAGATTTCGTTGTCATAATCGTTGAAATCTTTTTAAGTCAGGACGAAGGAAAAAAATATAGGAAAACGCGGTGGCGGAGGAAAAGGGCAGATCTTCCCTCCTTTTTATCCAACAAAAGATAGAAATATCGTCCTAATTAATCGAATTCAACTTTGCGAATTTCATTGCCATAATCGTTTTTAACCCGGGACGAAGGAAAAAAATATAGAAAAGCGCGATGGCGGAGAAAAAGGATAGGCCGTCCCTTTTTTTTATTCAAAGATATCGTCCCAATTAATCGAATTCAATTTTACGAATATAAAGAAAACTTTCATCTTCCATTCGAAAGATTTCGTTGTCGTAATCATTCAAATTTTTTTAAGTCAGAACGAAGGAAAAAAATATAGGAAAACACGGTGGCGTAGAAAAAAGAGAGGCCTTCCCTCCTTTTTATCCAACGAAAGATAGAAATATCGTCCTAATTAATCGAATTCAACTTTGCGAATTTCATTGCCATAATCGTTTTTAAGCCGGGACGAAGGAAAAAAATATAGGAAAACGCGGTGGCGTAGAAAAAGGAGAGGCCTTCCCTCCTATTTATCCAACGAAAGATAGAAATATCGTCCTAATTAATCGAATTCAATTTTACGAATATAAAGAAAACTTTCATCTTCCATTCGAAAGATTTCGTTGTCATAATCGTTGAAATCTTTTTAAGCCGGGGCGAAGGAAAAAAATAAAGGGAAAGGCGATGACGGAGAAAAAGAATAGGCCTTCCCTTTTTTTTATTCAAAGATATCGTCCCAATTAATCGAATTCAATTTTACGAATATAAAGAAAACTTTCATCTTCCATTCGAAAGATTTCGTTGTCATAATCGTTGAAATCTTTTCAAGCCGGGGCAAAGGAAAAAAATATAGAAAAACGCGATGGCGGAGAAAAAGAGTAGGNNCCTTTTTTTTTATTTTAAGATAGAAATATCGTCGCAATTAATCGAATTCAATTTGTTATAATACAAAGAAAAACTTTCATCTTCCGTTCGAAAGATTTCGTTGTCATAATCGTTGAAATCTTTTTAAGCCGGGGCGAAGGAAAAAAATAAAGGGAAAGGCGAGACTGAGAGTCGAAGATCTTCCTCCTCGTCCAAAGAGTTTGTTTTATCGGGTCTCGTAAAGGGGAGGCAATCGATGGCAGCACGGTTTTTGCCGGTCCCTGCATGGCGATCACGGCCGCCTCTCCTCTCTATCGGCGGAGATCCTTTTGTTCTACGTGCTCGAGTCCGCGCAGCCGTGAGCCGATTGGCTGGTATCGCGGATTGGACCACGCAGCCGCGTCGAGACGCCGCAAATTATCCCTCCGGTTCGCCGGCACCCACGGAGAGGGTGGGATTCCCCGAGGAAACCGATTACACCCGATACACGCGTCGCCTTGCTCCTCCGCGCTCCCCCTCCCCTCCCCAGTTCTCCACTCATCTCCCCGCGAATCTCGTTAACGGGCCGCCTCCTTTGTTCTTCCTTTTTTCTCTCTCTCCTCTCCTTGGTGGAAACACGCTTCTGCTTCAATGGATAGAATTGATACCAAGGCTATTCCAAGATTTTGGATTGGAATTCGAATTGGAAGATTTCCCTCCACGTTGAAGAAAGCGTCCGTTCGTGATTCGAGAAATAAGATCAGAGAGAGAGAGAGAGAGTAAATACGAACACAATAATTTGGAATAAAAATAATCAACGTTTGTGATTATTCTATGATAAAAAAACGTAGAGGAATATTACGATACAAATACTTTCCATAATCCTGCTATCAACTCTCTCTCCCTCTCTCGAGGATATCCCCTTTCAGAGACGCGTTTCATACCTACCTAAATTTTATCTATTATCAATCGACGTGGAGGAAAAAAGGCGATACGGCGGAATTACAGTCGAAAGGGTATCCGTTCCGGTGTAAAACCGGAGGAAGAGGAGAAGAAGGAGGAGGAGAAAGATCTCGAGG